AAAGCAAAGCCGATGCTGCAACCAAAAATCAACCGAGAGGCAAGGACGCCGGGGCTGCTCTCCTTCGCTCGCTTCCCCGCGTTTCCTCTGCCGCTCGGCCGGGGATCGGCCGCGCGCTCCTTTTCTTGACATTTTTTTCTTCCAGCTTGGTGGAACTCCGTGGATGTACAGCGGCTCTGATTTTTGCTTTTTCCTTTTCATCCCTGGCCTCCTGTTTCTTGTGCTTTTCCTGTGAAAAGGAGTAAGGAACATGCAAGCAAACCATTTGCAAACTACTCTCAAACCGATCCCCTGTCCATCTGTGTTCAAATTTACTGCACATACGCGCAGACTTAGGATGACACACACATATTTACATTTCACTGAAGCGAATTCCGTAATCATATACCTATTACCACAACGGTCTATACATCAGCATCTATCTGTCTGGCAGAAAACGATTCCTTGTGGCCACCACAGAAGACTAAACCTGAAGGGTGATCAAAGGTCGGCACTGTTACAGGTCTTCTTGACTTCACCGCGAGATAAATAATCAGCGTGGATATCACCCAGGACAGCGGAGAAGAAAGCCTGTCCCAGTTTCTCGGGTGGGGCAGGAATCCCCACCAGGGTGTATTTTGGGAGCGTTTATTTGCTGTCTTGCTTGCAAATTCTTGGTGAGGATATGTATTTTTCGGAGCATGGCAAGGAAGAAACTCAGTGACACTTAGAAGTTGGGTTTAATTAGCTTCATTTATGTTCCCCTCCCCAAATTAAATGGCTAGGAACCAGTCAAACTCCTTTCTAGCCTAAGCTAAGTCTTGCACCAAAGTCCTAGAGAATTTAACGGGACGGATTCTGTAGTAAGCATTTAGGTACCTGTTTTTAGGGCAGTCAAAAAACGAATCCGGCGTTTCTGGCCTGTCCCACTGGCCCTTACATGTAACGGCTATATCCAATTTAACAGGCTGGGGGCCATATTCGTCTTCATCTTAAATGCTCAGTGTAGCCATTGCTTTAGCAGGGGAACGGGGGTTCCTCTTGTGTCCGAGCTGAAGGGGGGTGGTGGCGGCGGGAGAAACGCCTCTCAACAAGTTCGGATTTATGAGGCTCGTTAAACACGCGTTGTTACTTAACACTCTCCCCACTTCGAAGAGACTGGGAGACAATCCCCTCTCTCCTTCAGCCCCTCCACACACGTCGGAGCAACACGGCGTGTGTCCAACAATTACCAGTGGCCGGGAGATCCATCTCCACACTGTCATTTCCTCCCCCC